GTGCAGATGACAACCACCCTGAGGTGCCCAAGTCTCACTTGAGGAGGGCTGTCAGAAGCTCCACATATGAGTGTGGCTTGCAGCTGAAAGGGCTGTGGACTACGGCCACACAAGCCGTGCTCTGCTCTGTCTACTCCAGAGCAGGCCAAGCAGAGTGCAGCTTGGGTTCCCCATTCCTATCCTGTGCCTCTGCTGCCAGTCCTGGCAGAGCAGGGTTGCTGCTTGCATTCTGCCTCTTGTGCCAGAAGTGCCACTTGGAAGCTACGTTGCCAGGAAGGGGACCAACCATGTTCTACTCTGGCTGAAAGTGATCCTTATTTCCTGCCCCACTCAGTCCTTCCATGGTCCCCTTGGACACCTGCAGGAGGACAAGAGTGGGTGGAACAAGTGTCTCAGGAGTCCCCCACAGCCTGGTCTGGCCCTTTAAGCGTACTGATTGCCCCAGACTAAATAACTCCCTGGAACCTGTCTGAAGCGGGCCCATTATTGTCTAGGTAGGCTGTTAGACAGTGTGTGGGAAGACTCTGAAGTTTATATATCAGTTAGAAAAATCTTAACACCAAGAAGAAACCGTGAATGGACAATCAGTTAAAAGAAAGACTACCAAAGCCTGGCAGACTACTGCAATTACATCAGATAATATATTGGCTATTTCAGTAGAAATTCAGGAGAGCAAGCTAAGAAGCCCACCCTCTTTGATGGAAGAAATTAGTAGAGAGTCCCATAGTGTTAAAAAAAACTGCTCAGGCTTACATTTTTAACTGAACACAAAACCAAGAAAAGTGGAAGGACTAAAAGTTGGGGAAACGATCTTGAGGAAAGAATCACAGGAGAGAAGGGGTGAACAATATGGCAGAAAAGGCCATTACTTTTAGTCTCAGCCTCTATGTGGATCAGCATTCAAATGAGCACATAGTTGGTACATTATGCTACTAAAACTGTCTCAAATACAGACTCCTCTGAATGTGGGAAGGGATGCAGAAACAAAGATGTCTAATTCCTTATGTTTTTGCACGATGATTATGTTGTGCAACACATATCTGGCTGTTGTTATTATTTTTTATCACTGCAAACTGTTACATAAAACTAAGAAGTATAATGCATGTTGTAAAGGCATTTTTGTATGCTTAAATAAAATACTATAAAATATATTAAAGAAGAAAAAGCTTTCAGCTTGTTGCTAATTTAAACTGACTTCTTGTGGGTAACCAAGAGGAACTGGGGAACTCTCAATATGGTATAGATCATCCCTAAGGGGAAAGGGTTTAAAATGTTCAGTTCACCGAAAAGGGAATGAGTTGAAATATAAATCCTTGGGTGGGGTTCAAGCCACTAGCTCCCATCTCTCATGGGGCTGGGTGGGAATGACACAATCATACTGCTATGTTGCATTAACCTGATGCTCTAATACAAATTATTAGTCTAACACGACAGCTAAATGAACTGATTGTTTGAGAAGCAAGGAGCTATGGCTGCAGAACAGTTAAGGGGCTTGGGGCAAGAATGGTCTGCTACTGTCCAAGCTTTGAAAATCCAAACCAAATAGGCCTCGCACCTTAAGGGGAAGAGCCAGTGCAGCTATGGTCTTAAGTTTCCCACACATAAAACACAGCACTGAAACTAATAGGATCTAATGCAGCATTGCAAGGGGAATAGATATAGCGTATTTTTCCGTGCATAAGATGATACTTTTTCTTCAAAATATTTACCTAAAAATGGAGGGGCGTCTTATACATGGGGGGCTGAGAAGAGAGCTGCAGGTGCGCTGGGGAGGAGACTAGTGTGGGCACAGACGGAGGGGAGGCGGGCACAATCGCAGGCACGTTGGGGGGGAGACTGGCGCGATTGCGGGCGTGGGTGCACTGTGGGGGAGACCGGTGCCGGCGCGTGTGTGGGGAGGCAGCAAGGCAGCGGGCACGTGTGCGCAGCAGCAGCTTGCTCGCTCACTCAGAGATAAGTAAGAAAAGTGGGCATCCTATACATGGAAGCAACTTAAAGACAGAAAAATGCAGTATTTTACAAATTATAGCAGCCACCTAAATCTGAGATTTTGATCCCGTAATCTGCTTCAAATTCTTGTAAAGCTGGCTAGCAGATCTTTTCTTGGAAGTGAACATAAAAAGAAGGGGTGCAGCACAAGCTCACAAAGTTCTGCAGGCTAAATCTGCGGTGAGAGTATGCAATGATAGCGAAGTGGCATCATTGCATGCTTCAACAATGAGACAGATGAAGAAGCTATATTGGCAGGATCCAGGCTGAGCATGTAATGTCAATAGGAAAATGATTTAGTCCAAGTGTTTCCGGACTTGAGCCCTGATACTCTTCAAAGATGAAAGGCATTTAAATAGCGTACTGAAAAGATTTGATCTATGTGCATAAACTACAGTAGGGAACACCCAGTTAAACTCACCATTAAAATGGATGACACTACCACAATTAGTTTGTTGCACTGGACGGCCAGGAAATTTCTCTTGCACATCTGTCTGAACACAGAAGATGACGACAGAGGAAATGCCAGCATGGGAGAATAGCTGCTTAAGGGGAAAAGAACCAAGGACATTCCTCATCTTACTCTATCAAAGTGAAGTCAATGTTTCAGGGTTTTTTTTTAATATCAAGCACTGAACAGCTGCCAAATGTTTAACAGTTGTAATATATGTTATGCATTGACTTGAAAAAAGGGAATAGTAACTTTGCCTCCTAATAATTCTTGCTTTAGCGTTAACCCCATCTAGGGTTACAGATCTGGAAAAGGGGATTCTTTCTAGAATAATGCTGGGTTTAGCTATGTTTGTTTCTCCACTCCATTGTAGACAATTGCATGTTTTCTTGTCTGTCTGAGTACATCAAGGAAGCACTGTGTTCATTAAGTGGGGCCATATAGTAACCACCTCTCCAGGGCCAAAATAAAGGAAAAGGAAAAAAAATGACATAATTCAAAATATTTTAATGTATGGGACCTGGGGATTCCCATTAGGAGAAGGAAAATCCAAAACATTTTATAGAAAGAAAGCCTAGATATCACATTCTTATAAGAGTCATTCATAGTCAATAAGGCTCTTTCCAGGTTCTGGGGACCTGAACCTCAGGCTCCTCTAGATCAAGGGAAGTAGCCATAAATTGGGGGTAGGGGATGTAACTTCCTATTTGCATCAGATCCCCATGGTAGGTTTATTTTCATTAAAGGATCATCAGAAGGGGAAAAATTAATGGTGTGCTCTGTTTATGGTCCGAATAGGAATTGTCTTAAGTTTTTGAAAGAAGTACTTCAGAAACTGTTTGAATTTAAGGAAGGAAAAATAATCCTAGTAGGAGATTTAAACTTGAGCATTGAAAGGAAGATTAATACTAATTCTACCAAGGAGGCATTGAAACATAAACCAGAGCCCATGTGATGATCAATGTATCCCATGGAAAAAAACTTTATATTTTATTCAGCCAGGCATGAGCTGTACACCAGGACTTATTATGTATTAATTTCTTCAGAGTGGACATTAGTGCTGAAAGCTGCTAACATTGGGGCAGTCACAGTGTCCCATCATGCCCCAGTGGAGAAATTGGTGCCCTCATCTGTGAAGATGCATCCCAAGATGACATAGGAGCTGGTTCTGAGTCAGACAAAGGGGAGTAGGAAGATGCTGCCAAGGCATCAATGGCATGAGACCTGAAGAGAAGTGGGAATAGTAGTGAGAGAGTGGAGGCCATCTGGTTGCTGTCTAGTCTTTTGGGTAGAGGTCAACCTAGACCTTTGGAAACCATAGGAATTCAGACGAAGAGGAGGAAGGAGGAGAGATCCAAGAGTGAGATATCAACAGTGGAGTATGGCTATCCAAGAGATTGGCAGCCAGTGATCCCACCCTGTGGAAGACCCACATTGGATGCAAAACCTAGTAGACCACTTGACTTGAATAGGGAGTGTTGTATAAATTAGAATCAGTTCCCTGGCAACTTTCTTAATGATACTTAACTTAAGAAACTAACCAGAATTCAGTAGTCCTGGTATGGAATTTCTCTATGGAGAGTTTGCCTATAGCCTAAAGCAATGTCTGCTTGTCTGTAACTTTTGCATTAAAAAAGTAGTTGATTGGATTTACATCTTTTCAGCTGGGCTTCAGAGGAAGCCAGAACAAGCATCCAATACCCAGTATCAGTTACTCATTTTCTTTAATGCATTATCAGCATAAATTGTTCTCCTGGAAACTGCATCCCACTGTACTTTTGCATCAGGAATCTCAGCATAAATGAAAACAAGAACTAAATTACTTTTTTCTAAATATAATAATCCTTCCAATACATATACAATGGGACACCATGAAAGTCCCTATGAGGTCCACTGTATACTGGAATTTAGTCAAACAATAATAATAGAGGAACAATAATAAAATTAACTAAACTCTGAGTTTCAGAATTTAGAAAAAAGATGTAACAACTTTGGAAGTAAAGCCATTCTTTACCAATTAGAATAGAAGTGAAATAAACTATAGTGGAGCCATGGAAATATAGGGGGGTGGAAATGAATACCAGTTGCGTAATGCCCTCTGGCTGGTTGTACTAGGAGCTCCCCATCCTCAGCCTCCTTAGCTTGTTTTCCTTACAGACCTCTGTCAACTGTTTTCGTTGGCCAAGGTGCCTTCTGGAATTTCCGGGACAGTGAAGTCTTCTTCAGACTTAGCTTAGGGGCTCAGGGCAGAGTCAGTCTGGGAGTCCAACTTGCTGAGTACTGCTCCTACTGTCAGGCAGTGTCTCTCCAGGGTCTCAGCTGTATTTGGAGGTGCCAGGAACTGAACCTGAAACCTGGGTCCTTTTGCATGCTGTATGAGTGCTGTGTGACTGAACTATGGTCTTTTCCAGCTCGGTTATGGCAATCTAATAATACTTTATTGGAAAGTCATAAGAATTCAGTGGTTTGGGACCCCTAGCATAGCTTGTAATTTAATCTCGAGTTCTCCTTTCTGCGGTATCTGATCTTCATATGCATTTCCCACGTTCCTGTCTTTCAGTTTCCATCTTGCACATTGAAAGTGTACGTGAAGGTTATCAGTCTGAGGGGCATCGGAAATTTGGTGGCTCTTTCCCTGAGGAGCAGTGCTTCACCATCGTCTTCAAGGGCAAGCGAAAAAACCTGGATCTTGCTGCTCAGAATGTGGATGAAGCTCAGCAGTGGGTGAGGGGACTCACAAAATTGATGGCCAGAGCTGAAGCCATGAGCCAGCGAGAAAAACTTGAGCAATATCCTTTCTATTCAAGCCATCAGAGACTTCAAGAATGGTAGTTATACTCCTCCATAGGTGGGTTTTGCTGAATCACTGAAAGTGACTAGTCCCAAACAGCAAAGTTTAAAACTGTATTTGGAGAAGGCATCCCAAGAGTGGGATCAGAGCTAGCTTAAATCCATGACTTGTTTGTGCATTATTATTGGATAGTAAATAATCATTCATTATAATTAGAATAATAGTATCACAGAGTTGGAAAGGACTTCAAAGCTAATCTAATCTAATCTTCTGCCAATATAGCAAATCCATTGCTAAAGCATTCTGACCCTGCAGCTGCTGCTTGAAAAGTATTTAATGAAGGCTAATCCACCATTAAGGCAGTCTGGCCCACTTTTGAACAGCTGCTGCTCTCAGGGAGTTCTTTCCTTTTCTTTTAAGTTGAACCTCACGGTTTGGTTCCTGCCTACTGAATCAGTAGAAAGCAAATTTGCTACATCAGATATTTGAGGATGCTTATCATCCTCCCAGCTAAGCATGCTCCAACTCTTTCATAGGACTTGGTATCTTGGTCACTCACCATCTTGTTATGTTCTGTATTCCCTTGTAACAAGTATTATCCTGTTGGAATGGGGGCAGAGGGAGACTTTACATTCCAAGACTGGGGCCTCCCAGTTCCTTTGCACTTTCCTTACATCAGGTTCTATCTGGATCCATGACATCCTGCATCGGGCTGACAAGAACAAAGACAACAAGATGAGTTTCAAAGAGATCAAAAACATGTTGTGCATGATAAACATAGACATGAATGATGTCTATGCCTACAGGCTCTTCAAGGTACTTCCCTGCAAATCAAATTGTTGACTTTGCAAGACTGTTGAGATGCAGTTGCTCCTGGAGGCTCGTCCACTCGGCCAGAGGATGATGGCAGCACTCTCTTCTGGCTGTTTAGTGCTCTGAATAAGGCACTGACAAGCCCAAGAAAGTAGCTTGTGCTTCATCCTCATGGGAAACATCAGCTGCACACTGGAAGATACAGGGAATGGGGATCTTGAGAGAGAGGGCTCATGTGGGGTGAGGTGCTCTCTCCCAGGCCATGTCGGTCCTCAAAAGTCAGAACCATCTCCTTAAATTTAGCCTGGAATTGATCTGGAAGTAAGTGTAGGTGGTTCAGTATGAATTGGCCATGTTTGTGCCTTCTAGCCTTTCAGCCTTTATTACTGTGGTGTTTTGTGCTGGATTAAATTTCTGGATTGTCTTCAGGATAGAGTGCACTAGAACAGTCAGTGATGAGACTCTCAAAAAGGGATAAAGCTCCTGAGACTGAGCTACCTGAAAGACTGCATTCTGCCATATAAGCCCAGTCAGATTTTAAAACCTCCAGAGGAGGCACTCCCACATGTGATGGGGACACAACAGAGGGCTTCTCCATGTCCAGTCCAAGGCCCTGGTATTCCCTGCTTGAGAGAGGTTAGGTTAGCCACTTCTCGCTTGTCCTGCTGCTGCTAGGCAAAGGCATTTTTATTCAGGTATGCCTCAAACAAATAAGCTGGTCTGTTGCTGTTGGTTTGGGGCATTCTTTTTCTTTTCTTGATACATTTTTAAATGCTTTAATGGATCTGTGCTTATCTCATATTTTTCTTAATATTGTTTTGAATCTTTATTTTTTCACTGTTGCCTGTTAAATTGCAGGTGGAAATGCAGGCTACAGCCAGTGTGGTGCATTAGTTAAGAATGTAGGACTGGGACTCAGGGTATCTGGGTTCTAGGCACTGTTCAGCCACAGAGTCCACTAGGTGACTTTGGTCAGTCACAAGCACTCAGCCCAGCCTACCTCACAGGGTTGTTGTGGGGATAAGATTGAGATTGCAACCTGGAGACAGCCTGTACCAGCTTCTCCTCCTGAGTCCATTACCACTTGTCCCCCTGCCTCCACATTGCCCACAGGGGTGGCTGCAGCATAGTCTGCTCAGCCTGCCATGGAGGGGGCCCAGCAGAGCGTGCCCCTCAGCGTTTGCTGTGGTTGCGGGTGCCTGGAAGAGGCCCAGCAGTAAGCACCCTCATTGCTTTCTGTGGCAAGAGAGTTGGGAAGAGCTGTGTTTTTCTGGGTCTTCTCCAGAGGAGGAGACCAATATCAAACAACCCTTCCCTGCCAGGATCATCCCTATCAACCTGACCTGCTGTTTCGAGTCAGCAGTGGCCATGATGCCTCCTCCTCCTTTTGGCTGGGCTTGGTGGCAGGCAACACTCATTGAGCCTACTCATCAGTAGAGTGGAGTGATGGGAGCTTCTGCCATGCCCCCTTTCCCTGGTGCTGTGGTCAAATGGTGGTGGGAAGGTGGGGAAAACTAGCTTTCCTGCTGTTTCCCATGGAAAACCTGTAGAAGCACCAAGCAGTGATGGAGTTTGTCCCATAGCCATAACGGGTGTGATCATCTATCAAGAACACTGTCAGTTCTAGGGAAAACAAGCCACACTGGAGCTTCCTATACAATGTGATGTGATGTGCTGTGGTTGCAAAAGGGGCCAATGCTGTTTTAGGCTGCATTCATCAAAGTTACACTTCGAAATCACGCAAAGTTCTAGTTCTCCTTTACTCGGCACTGGCTAGGCCTCATCTGGAGCACTGTGTCCAGTTCTGGATACCACAGATGCAGATGATCTGGAAAGGGTTCAGAGCAGGGCAACAGGATGATCTGGGGACTGGAAACAAAGCCCAGTGAGGAGAGATTGAAAGAGCTGGGCATGGTCAGCCTCCAGAAGAGAAGACTGAGGCGAGATATGATAGTACTGTACAAGTATTTAAAGGGCTCTCACAAAGAGGAAGGATGGGATTGCTTCTTGATCAACCCAGAGTGTAGCACAAAGAGTAACAGGCTCAAGTTACAGGAAACCAAATTCGAGCTAGATACCAGGAAAAATTTCCTGACTATTAAAGAAATATGACAATGGAACCAATTACCTTGGGCTCTCCCACACTAGAGTCATTGAAAATGCAACTGGACAGCCATGTGAGAGAGATGGTTTACCTGAGAGTCCTGCACTGAGCAGGGGGTTGGACCTGATGCAGGGGTGTTGGCCTCTTCCAACTCTACTATTCTGTGATTCAGTGTGGTTTGGTCTATCATCCAAATTCATCCAGGGTGAAATAGAAGCACCATCAGAGAAAGCAAATCAAAGCAAAGCAAGAAAACAACCAGCATCACCTATTATATTTCTCTTTCACCTAGGGTTAACTGATCTGTTGCAAGAAGAGTAAAGAAGACTATGTTAAAAGAAAAGAAAAAGCCTGCAGTCTTGCTTTTCTCTGCCTTGACGGCTGCCTAAGCTTCTTTGCTGCTGCGTCCTGTTGCCCGTCATCCAGCCACCTGTGGCAATTTGCTCACTCCTCCCTCTTTTTTTTGCCAGGAGTGTGACCGATCAAACAATGATCGCTTGGAGGAATATGAGATTGAGGAGTTCTGCTCACGGCTAATGGCCCGGCCAGAGCTGGAGGACATCTTCTGCCTTTACTCAGGCAACGACTGTGTGCTGTCAGTTGAGGAACTGCAGGAATTCCTGCATGACCAGGGTGAGGAAGCAAGCTTGCAGGAGGCCCATGACATCATCCAGACCTATGAACTAAATGAGAAAGGTATGAATCTGCAGTCCCCACTCACCATGTCTTGGTTATGGTGAATCTGCCAGCCTAGCAAAACTGTGATGTTGGTGCATTGAAAGAACAGAAAGCTTGGGGTGGTGACATCCTTGGAATGTAAGATCTGGGCTGTAATCCAACAGGAAATTCTCACAGGTTGTGCAGAAGTAACTACCAGAGCTACTTCTTTTGTGCAGTAGTACAATTTCACACTTGATCTAGAAAGGGCAGCTTGGTAACTATATAAAGCTCTGGTGAGGTATGGGAAGTGGAGTTCTTGCAAGCAAATAAGGCTAACCACTGGGTTGCATTTATTTTCCAAAGTTCTTCAGAAGTCTTCTTTGTTTTTTAATTTTAGATTGTAGGTTCTTTCATATAGGGAATCTGTCAGAACAGTTTTTCATACAGTGCCATGTATATAGATGATGCTACATACATAAGAACGCAAGCCTATCATCTCTGGAAAGCTATCACCTGCGTGCAGCCATTAATCTATGACACAAATTGACTGGGTTTGCATATTTATGGTGTGTGCTGACCACTGTTTTGAATATTCAACCCCAGTGAGTGGTTGCGATGGTTTTCTGTGTTGTTTGAACTCTGGCTGTAGGGGTTGTTGGAGGAGGAAGCAGTCCAACAATCACTGCTATCTTGGTTTGGATTAGATGGAAAATCTTGCTGACATGCACCCTCCCATACACCCCAGTCAAGGACTGACTATTCAAAACGCAAGAGGCAGCTAACATAGTAGAGTAGGGACAGTCAGATAGAAAGTACAGTGACATGACATTACATGTTTTGTCACATATCACATTCTAGGAGAGAGGGCAAGAATAAGAGGCAGGGGGACTGCTTTTGTTGGCTGTTCCACATGCTTTCCAGAACTCACGTTTTTGTCCTGGTCTTACTGTCTTATGAAATACAAGAACCCAAGGACAGGTGTGATGTTCCAGACCAAGGTTCATCTAGCCCAGCATTCTCTTCGCAGTGGCCAACCACCTGTTCCTGGTCCCCAGCGACTGGTGATCAGAGGGACACTCAGATATGAGAGGAAAGTTACCCAGCATGCTTGATGGGTGGAAGCGAAAAACTCCTTTTCTAACAGTCTCCTCATCCCACAGCCAGGCAGCACAACCTTATGATGGCGGATGGTTTCATGATGTACCTGCTGTCCTCAGCCGGAAACATCCTCAACCCAGCCCATACCAGGATCTACCAAGACATGAGCCAGCCACTGTGCCATTACTTCATCTCTTCCTCCCACAACACCTACCTGACTGACAATCAGATCCAGGGGGAAAGTAGCACGGAGGCTTATATCCGGTAAGAAGGCTTCGTGCCAAACCAGAGGACCGTGGCTCCCACTAAACAGGCTAAGAGAGAGCAGGTATTGCTGATGGAAGTCAAGGAATTATCAGGTGCAGATTACTGTTGTGAGAACTGGTAAAGATGGGTAAAGATTCTAGCTGATCTTGGGAAGTTGCTGGATGGGTGGACTGCAAAGCAGCATGATTAATGAGCAGTGTCAAGGAAGATGTTAGAACAAAGAGTTTTTTCAGAAAGTGAAAGTCTTACTCAAATAAGGAGAACACATATTTGAACAAAGAGAGTTAGAGCTGAGAAGAAGAGATGCAAAAAGCATTTTTTCAGAGCATATTGCTAACATCAAGGCCAACAATAAAGAACTTTTTAAATATGTTGGAAGCAGAAAACTAAAGTACAGAAGCGGTTGGACAGCTGGATGATGGGAATTAAAAGAGTACCAAAGGATAACAAAGGAAAGTTGAATGAATTTGGAAACAAGGTTTTTGACAAAATCATTCACTGAAGTCTCCAGAGCAAACTTAGTTATGGGATAAGAAGAGAGCTTCACTTAGATCAGTAACTAGTTAAGGAATGGAAAGGAAAGAGTGGACATAAATGGTAAATTCCCCCAAGGCAGGAACTTGTGTATAAATTATCTGGAATTAGTAGTAAACAGTGAGGGGGGCAGGTGTGCTGATGATACCCAATTATATATGGTGGTTAACATAAAGAGAGACTGCAAAGTAATCTGTCTAACAAGCAGAATAGTGATCAAGGTGGCAAATAAAGTTCAGCATAAGCAAGTGTAAAGTGATATATGATGGGATGACAAATTCCTATGCATATACATCCAGGAATCTCCTGGATTAGTTAGTGCACTTTCATTTAACCACAACTGACCTTAGTCTGAAAGAAGTCATAAAGTGCCGAAGAGAAGTTGTACTTTCTTTAAGTGAACATTCTCAGTTTAATAGGGAAAAGAAAGAATCATATGCCAAGGTTGCTAGGATATATGGTAGGAAAGAATCTATCTGTGAGAGTGTGAAAAAGAAAAGCATATGTACAGGTATACAGTACATATAGTGCTGGCTATTATCTGCAGTTCCATGCACCCATTGCAGGGCTGGGAACGTCTCCCTGCAGATTTGGGGGTCCTGCTGTATATGCTGGTGGGATCTGAGTTAGTGGAGACTAACCAAGAAGGAGATTGGGAAGTTGTGACAGACAGACAGTGCAAAATATGGATTGCTGTGAAAAATACTCAATTTTAGGAATACTTAGGAAAATAATAGAAAAATGAAACTGTCAGTATCATTTGCCCTCATACAAATCTGCAGGTAATCTCAGCTAGAAAACTGCACAGTTCTGGTCACTCTACCTAAAAAATGGTAAAGTTGGGAAGAGTGCAGAAAAGGGCAACTAAAATTATCAAGTGTCTTGGACAATTCCCCAATAAAGAAATGTTACAACATCTGCGGTTGTGTAGCTCAGAAGAAAGGAGACCTGATAGAAATGCCCCAAATTATGCATGGTGTGGTAAAAGTGATGGGAGAGGTCTTCTCCTTCATAGTCATCCAGTGAAACTGATTAGTAGGAGATTTAGGATCGATGGCACATACTTAAGCAAGATATAGTGATAGCCACCAATTTGGATCATTTTAGAAGGGGACTGGACACTGACAGTGGCTATTTTTCGAAATGGCTATATGCTGCCAGTAGCTGGAGAACTGGGGCAGGAGGGTGCTTTTATTTGTGGGTTTCCCATGGGCAGCTGGTTGGCCAGTGTGTGAATGAAATGGTGGACTAGCTTGACCCTTGGTTTGATCCAAGACGACTCTTCTTTGGTTAGCAGAAATTATGGCATGATCTCCTGTGTGGCTGGGGGTGTAGCTGCTTTCCTTTGGCTTCAGAGCCCTACCTCTCTCTTTGACAGGGCATTGATCAAAGGGTGCCGATGTGTGGAGCTTGACTGCTGGGAGGGGTCTGATGGGGAACCGATCATCTACCATGGCCACACCTTCACCTCCAAGATTCTCTTCAGGGATGCCATTGAAAGCATCAGGGACTATGCATTCAAGGTAGGCTAAACCACACATCCCAACATCCCTTGCAGGTAAAACTTCCCTCTTTGAAACCTCAGGCATAGACATTTCTCTGAAAGTTTTTTTTCCCCTACAAGCAAATTAATTATAACTTTTTTTGTGTCCAATGCATAAAGGGTGGCATGGACAGCAAATGGGGGATGCTTGGGGCAAGGCCAGCACGTTTGGCTCAACAGAGTTTGTGCTTCATGCGTCCTTTTGAATGGCTGAGTAGGGCTTTAGTTCAATTTTCACACAATGTGAGATGCAAACATTGATTTATTTTTCTCTTGTATGAGCACCCCACAAGCCTTTTTCAGAGGGACACTCAGGAGACCCTCTAATCCTTGCCTTTGAAATGAGAGCACAACTGCTTACAATTATGCATGGTTAGATGTAGCTAAAACATAATTTTGTGTGATGAGTGTTCACCTTGGGCTCACACCGGCCCCCACCCTTCCTCTGGTACTGCTGTGAAGAAAATTTCAGAAATATCTGCCTCCTTTCCAGATTAATGGCTGTTTAGCATATGATCTGAACCCTAAACTGTGGTTTCTGAAGCTGGCATGTTTCCATTAATCACGGTTAAGATTAACTATGGTTTGGGTTTGGAAGCTTTGCTAAACTGCTGTTAATCTGAAACAGAACCAGATCCTTCTCTCCTTGTGGCTGTGCTGGTGCAGGAGAGGGGAAGGAGGTATGTAGTAATCTCATGATTTGCCTAGGCTTGCTCTGATCTGACTTGTAGAGAAACTCTTCCATCGCAAAACCATTTCTGACTACTAGAATTTTCACCATACTAACTGCCTGGATAGGGGATGTAGTGACTTCAGTTTGTCCTGGAAGAGAGACCACAAGTTAGTTAGAGACCTTGAAGTTGGCTAACAGGTTAGGGTTAGGGCAGTTGAAGTGCTGCAGCTGTTGTCACTGTATGAGCACCTCTGCCTGCCTGCAGGTTTATCTCTCATTTGATCCGCCTATGTATGTTCTATCCTTATATTCATTTATCACTTTCCTGACTTGGCAGGAAGTCCTGGGGCAGATTTACATTGTCAGTCCTCTTGTGCGAATTCCTTTGTATTTAATGCGTCCAGTAGCTTTGTAATTGCTTCAATTCTGTTGTGTTCACTGATGGAGATTACCGCATTATCAGAAGCCTTGAGCATAAGGAATTCCTTTCAAGGCCTCCTGCCACTTAGGAAATAAGTGAAAACACAGGGAACCTGGAATAATAGGGGCATCCGTGTGTGTTCTGCAGCTTGTCAGTGAGATTTAAGAAAGAGGAAGAGATGGTTTAGGATAATGGTTGCCACTGCTATTTTATTTTATTTTAATTTAATTATTTTAGTTATTTTTATTTATTTTCTTATGTTTGATTCATTCTTTTTTGCTTATTATTGGATTAATTTGATGGTATTCTGTTATTATTGATTGTCTTTATTATAATTGATTTATTATTATTGTATTATGAATTGTATTTTTATCATAGCTGATTTTATATACTGTAAGCCGTCTTGAGACGTATAGTGAAAGACAGGATAAAAATGTTTTATTAAATTAAAATTAAAATTAAATATTGTTCCTCTTTAAAATCATGATTAGTGATAGGAACCATAGTATTCATCTTTCACCATACCATTGAAAAAATAGCCACATTGAAAACACATTGAAATCATACTGAAATCACACATTTATTAAAATCCAGAGGAGTAGTAACATTAACCTGCATCATGGTTGCTGGGGAAGAACAGTGGGAGGCTGCTATTGCAGGGGAGGAACTGTGGCTTGGATGCAGAGTCAACGGTCCCAAGGTCAGTCCCTGCATCTCCACATTGGGCTGGAAGAATTCCGGCATAAAACTCTGGAAAGTTACCACCAGTCAGTTTGGACAACATTGGGCTAGACAAACCAAGCAACTCCTTCAGTATAAGGCAATGTCTTATGTCCTTTTGGACTTCCCAGTGGTATCCTGTGGGAAATAGGATGCTGGGCCAAGGAGGCTGCAGGTCTGACTGAGAGGGGCTCTTCTTACTTTCTTTTTTAATGTCTCCTACATTAAAAACAAAGACTAGGTGCACCTTAAAAGTAACAGATTTATTCAGATGTGAGCCCAGCACCACCTCTTCCAATGTATAAGATGTATCTGCCTAAGGTGGCAAGTATGTCCATCACGTATATCTCACAGTTCACACCACAGTAATGGTACGCCATTTCTTCAATTGCTGTGTAACAGGAAAAAATCAGTAGCTGTGGTTTTCTAGCACTTAGACCCCAGAGTGCAAAAAGTGGTTCCTGTTGATTTTTGCATTTTATACAGCTTTTAAAACTACAGATGGTGGTGCTACACATTGACTGTCCAGAAGATCTTTACAGATAAAGTGGAAACAGAGAGGGATGCTTGGTACCTCTTTGAGGTGGCTGTGTATCTGACCCCACTTCTTTGTCCTTAGCAATCCTGCTATCCTGTGATTCTCTCATTGGAAAACCATTGTGGTCCAGAGCAACAATCCACAATGGCCCGCCACATGAAGACTATTTTAGGTGACATGCTGTTGACCCAGCCACTGGATGGAAACATGGCCAAGCCACTCCCATCACCAGAGGTAATACTATCCACTGAGGGGCAGCTGTGTGTTAGGTGAGATATAATTCTATAATGTCAGTTTGGGAAAGAGATTGAGGAGGAAACTGAAGGAAAGAAGAGCCACCTTTCATAGCATTAAGGGCTAGCAGCTTGCTTTAAGTAAACAATGAGTCAGCTTTTTAATTTTACACCAACGCCATGTTTGCATTTGGGCAATGATGGTGCTCTGGAAGGTCCATGGAACTAAAGCCTAATGGGCTTCATTCAGTGCAGCAATTAAAGTGTTGCAAGATTCCTTTCATCTGTTTATCTAGCTTCCTTCTTGAACCCAGCGAGTCTCTCTGTCTCTGTAACTGTGGTTCAGTTTTGTATTTAGCAAGTAAAATGGCAGGAAGACTGTTGGGGTGGCAAGTCTTCTGTCAGTTTTAGGTAGCAAATCCCCAAACTCACTACCTTCTGCAGTCAGTCCTGGTCCCTCAGCTGATTGAATTTCTAATGGGAAACTTTACTAGAGGACTAAGCTACTTGATTTCCCCTTCCCAAACCTCACAGCAGTTAAAGTGGAAGATACTAGTGAAGGGAAAGAAGCTGCAAGAGGACAATAGTGATCCCGACCAAGTGAGCCGCATCTCCAGTCATGAAGAAGAAATGCAGGAGAAAGAAGATGAGAAGGTGAGGACACAGCAGAGTTTCGATCACTGCTCCTGAGAGGATGAGCAAGAGAATCCTGGAAAAACCTTCTAGGATAGATTATTACTCTCCCTTTAATAACAGGTGGCTGAATGCTGCAGCAATGCAGCCAAATCAGGATGACTCAGAAGCAAAAAGAAGGATTTATTGTGCTCAGGGGTCACAGAAGCACAGCAAATCTTTGGAGGGAGAGAGGCCTAAGTGATGGGGGTGGGAGACCCAGACAGACTCATTGAGGACTGAGCCTGTTCAGTGGCCATGGGATGTTGAGTGGCTGTTGTGGATAATGGAAAACCAAGAGGGAGTGGAAATAGAAACAAATATTGTGGAAGAGGGCATCACTGGTTAGGATCCTGAACAGTATAACTATTTGTAGACGTGGGTTGGATTCATGGCAACAATTCTGTGCTGTTTTCATGGAATGTGGATTTCTCTTTCCAAAAGTAAACAGCAAGATGTACACATTTCTTTGACAAAGGTGAGCTGTGATGCATCTGTTGCCAGGAAACTGAGGGCAGTAGAGCTTGAAGGCTAGACGTGGCCTAATCCAATGTATTTAATTAAGGTTTCTCTTCCTGATTGCCCAGAGGCTATTGTTAGTCTCTGTAGGCTAGGAGGCAAGTATCTTTTTATAAGCTTGGGATAATATGTCTGTAAGACCAAGCACAGAATCTTAAGTGGACACAACTAACAATTTCCCTTCCACAGGTTAGGGATGCTGTGCATTTTTCACGTGAACTCTCTGATGTGGTTGTATACTGCCAGGCTGTCCCATTCCAAAGCCTCTTGTATGCCCTGAACTACCAGAAGGCTGCTGAAATGTCATCTTTCAGTGAAAGGAAAGCCAGGAAGTTGATCAAAGAATCAGGTAAGGTTGGGCTTTTGGAGAGCGTCAGGGCCTTCTTTAGTGAGCTGGTGTGTTTCCTCAGCAGTGATTCCCTGGGACCCGATGAACTAGAGACAACTCTGTGGTTGAAGGTGGAACATCAGACAAACAAATAAAGGAAGAGAGGAGCATGTGGCAAGGATTATGTGGGTGTGTTTATAGCTACGGTCTCCAGGATTGTGCCCATGGGCACTTCTTTTTGGTGTCTACAAGGCTCCCTACTCTTCCCGATTTGTATTTCTTAAGATTGTTGATGTTTATTTTTAACTGGCATACTGTGAAGGGCTGCTCTTCTGTATGGGTGTTCCACCTCTGCTTTGTGTATAGATTCTTAAGCTAGTTACTTTTCTTTAGTCTCACCCATTTACCTTCTAGGAAATGACTGTCAAACCATTGTCACATCCACTGACCTGGCAGCTACCAAAAGTGTTTGGAAAAGCTGAGCCATTTTATTTATTTATTTATTTATTTATTTAAAACATTTCTATGCCGGTCCATCACAATAAATCCTCGGGGCGGCTCACAAAACATTAATAAATAACAATACAATAAAACCCCAATACAATAAAACCCCAGTGCAATAAAACCTCAGTGCATTCTCGGCTAAATTTTTTTTTTTAAAAACCTAGTTAAATAAATAAATTAACAATTAAAATAAATTTTAAATAAAAAGGCCTTAGCCTTGCGCCGAAAAACAAATAACGACGGCGCCAGGCGGACCTCTCTGGGGAGTGCATTCCATAGATGGGGCGCCACCGCAGAGAAAGCCCTCCTCCAGGTACTCACCCTCCTGATGTCATTCACAGAGGGTTCCCGGAGAAGGGCATCTGCTGCTGACCTCAAGGGGTGGGAGGGCATATATGGAAGCAAGTGTTCCTTTAGGTATCCAGGTCCCAAGCCATTTAGGGCTTTATAGGTCATAACCAACACCTTGAATCGGGCCTGGACTTCAATCGGGAGTCAGTGAAGCTGACGGAGAACTGAGGTTATATGAGAACAACGCCCAGTCCCCGTCAGCAACCTGGCAGCTCTATTCTGCACCAATTGAAGTATCTGGACCATCTGCAAGGGTAGCCCCACATAGAGAGCGTTACAGAAATCTAATCGGGAAGTTACCAGCATGTGTGTCACTGTCGCCAGGCAGTCATTCTCTAGGAAGGGACGCAGCTGATGGATCAGCCGAAGCTGAAGGAAGACGCTCCTCGCTACCGCCGTCACCTGGGCTTCCAGAGACAGCTCAGGGTCGAGGAGCACTCCTAAGCTGCAAACCCTGTCCCTCAGAGGGAGCGCAACCCCATTTAGGACAAGGCCCATGTCCCCCATCCTGAGGCCCGAGCCACCCACCAACAGGACCTCCGTCTTGTCTGGATTGAGCTTCAGTTTATTGGCCCTCATCCAGCCCATTACCTCAGCCAGGCACCGGTTCAGCACAGCCACTGCCTCACCTGGATTGGTGGAAAACGAGAGGTAGAGCTGGGTATCATCAGCGTACTGATGATTCCGCAACCCACACCTCCTGATGACCTCTCCCAGCAGTTTCATGTAGATGTTAAATAGCAAAGGGGACAAAATGGTCCCCTGCAGAACTCCATGGCATAGCTGCCATGGTGCAGAGCCATAGTCCCCCAGCACCACCTTCTGAAATCGGCCATTGAGATAGGAGCGGAACCACCGCCACACGGTGCCTGCAACTCCCAATCCCGTTAGCCTATTCAGAAGGATACCATGGTCGATGGTATCGAAAGCCGCCGAGAGGTCCAGGAGAACTAAGAGGGACGCACTCCCCCTGTCTCTCTCCCTGCACAGGTCATCATACAGGGCGACCAAGACAGATTCAGAGCCATACCCGGGTCTGAAGCCGGACTGAAATGGGTCCAGATAATCAGTTTCATGCAAGAGTGCTTGGAGTTGTCCCACCACCACCCGCTCTAGTACCTTGCCCAGGAATGGGATGTTGGCCACCGGTCTATAATTGGCGGCCACCTCTGGATCCAGGGATGCCTTCTTTAGGACTGGCCGGACTACTGCCTCCTTTAAAGGGGCAGGTACCCGGCCGTCTCTTAAAGAGGCATTGACCACCTCCAGGATCCAGGTCCCAATTCCGTCCTTGGCTTTCTTAAGTAGCCAAGATGGGCATGGGTCTAGTAAGCAAGTGGCAGGGTGTACTTGTCCAAGCACCTTGTCCACATCATCAGGCCGCAACAACTGAAATTCATCCATCAATTGTGGACTCGATGGCGTTGATGGCAACTCCCCCGTGAAATCTGATTCAATAGCAGAGTCAAGCTCATGGCGAATCTGAGTGATTTTCTCCCTAAAATTTTGCCTGTATTCACAGCACAACATGGATTAGCTGAAACTGTGGAACAACATGTTCAGTATTGTTGCCCTGTGGATGCAAACAACATGGCTTATTTTGTTCAATTTCCGTTTTCTGACTCCTAGCTGAGCAGAGAAGTTGCCCCAGCTGGTCTGGGGGCCATGCAGAGAGAGCAATTGGAGCCAGCAAACTGGGAGAACCAACAGGAGTTTGGCAGCAGAGCTCAGCAGGGGAGGTCTCTTTTTAGTTATTATTTTCACTTTTTGTAACATACAGTTACATACCAGTGGGACTTTGCTCTTAACCTTCAGGGAAGTCAGGACAAAATACAGGCCGTTCCAATAAAATCAGTAAAGTAGAAACAGAATTGGAGTAGAGACTGTGTATGGAAAATACTCTCCAGTGGTGGTGATGTGGCAGATCTGTGCAACACTGGTTTTCCTGCCTGAGTTCAACGTGGGCTACATGTGCAGCAAGTGTAAATGGCTTGTTCCATTGGAAGAAAAAGAAAATACAAGAGAGGCAAGTGTCCATCTCCAAGGGAACAAGAGAGGATGAAGAGTTTTTGGTTGGAGATGTAGGACTGCAATAGCAAAGTGAAGGGCGAGAGCTTGAAGAGTAACAACAAACTGAGACAGAAGAGGAAAATCCTGAGAGAAGTGAAAACGATGTAGAGGAAGCTCCCTAGGAAATGGTGACCACAGAAGGGGAAGTACTAGAAGACACGGCTGTGGAAGCAAAGAACCACTTTCAGACACTTGAGAATGAGACTTTAGGGCACCCCAGGCAACAGCAAGAGGCTGAAGGACAGTCAAGCAGAGACTGTGATACCAAGGCCTGTAATAACAAGAAAAGTGATAGTTGTGTGGGCAAGAAGCCTATGTATGTCACAAGAGAGACCCATGAATTGACCAGGTATGCTGTCTCCCTGGAGGAAGGAGATTAGAGATTTGACTGGGAGGAGTTGCCTAAGCTCATAAAAACCTTACTGACAGGTATCCTTTCCTTCTGATCTTTCTGTACCCTGGATGTGAAGGCAGCCAATTTTAAGAACCTCAGAACACTGGTAAGGTAAGGTAAGGTAAGGTAAGGTAAAGTAAAGTGAGTCTAATAAGAAAAGAGTGCATTAAAAAAAGAAATTCTAAAGCAACAATTACAAACCTTCCCAACAAGAAAAAGAGGTACAAGAGAATAAAAGCAGCCAATGTGGCCCCAAAATGGCTTAGAAATGATCTGAAAACAAGAATGCTTACAGGAAGTGGTAGGAAGGCCAGGCTACAAAGGAAGAATTACAGGCAGGTAGCACTGAATTGCAGGGATGGCATCTGGAAGACTAAAGCTGAGAATGAAAGGATGTGAAAAGCAACCAAAAAAGCCTTCTTCAGAGATGTCCTTAGTAAAAGACAGAGAAATGGCAGTTCAACTTCTTAATGAGGAGGGCAGATAACAGATGACAAAAAAGAGCAGGAATGCTCAATTCCTAGTTTGGCCTGGCCTTCTCCCAAAAGAGGGTCTATAACTTTCCTGGAAAAGACAAAGTACAAGCTGAAGGGGCAGGATTGCAGCTTGAGGTTATTAGGTCAAGAGATAACTTTGGAAGAATGTTTTGGATGAGTTCAGATCTTCAGGAACTGATGAACTGCATCCAAGAGCAGAAATCTTTTAGAACCATTGTCTACTATCCTGAAGAACTCATAGGAACAGGTGAAGTGCCAGAATACTGAAGAAGGACTGATGGTGTCCCTATCTTCAGAAAGGGAAAAAGGAGGACCCTGGGAACTACAGAGCAGTCATTCTGACAGTCTCTGGGAAAGTTCTGAAACAGATCATAAAGTCAGTTTTCAGAATCTTTGAAGATAATGCAGTGATTACTAGAAGCCCACAGGAATTTGTTGGGAACAGACTAATCTGGTTTCTCTCTCTCTTTAATTTTTTTTGTGTTTGGGTAACTTCACTGGTAGACTGTGGGAATGCTGTGGACATAATATATTCAACAAAGCTTTTGACAAAGTGCCCCATGATATCCTGATTAGCCAACTAGCTAAGAGTGGGCTAGAAGGAACAACAATCAGATGGGTCCACAGTGGGCCAGAGGATTGTGCAGAGAGAGTGCTTTTCAATGGCAAATTCTCAAATTGGGGAGAGTAGGATGCCACAGGGTTCAGCACTGGGTTTCAAATTTGTATTAATGATTTTAATGAGGAGGTGCAGGGAATGCTTATTTTAAAAAAGGCGGAATAGCTAATACTCTGGAAGACAGAAACAAAATTCAAAGGGATTTTGATAGGCTGTCGCCATAGGCTAAAAGCAACAGAATGAGATTCAATAGGAACAAATGCCAAGTTTTGCACCTTGGAAAAAGAAAGCAAATGTATAATTGCAAGATGGAGGAAACCTTGCTCAACAATATTGCAAGTGAAAAGGATCTTGGACATGCTGAAGATCACAAGCTGAATATGAGTCAACAAACAATGTGATGTGACTACAAAAAAGGCAAATGCCACCTTGGGCTGCATTAATAGAAATATCACTTCCAAACCAAACAAGGATGATCCAAGGTCTGGAAACAAAGCCCTGTGAGGAGAGATTGAAAGCTGGGTATGTTTAGCACAGAGAAGAGAGAACTGAGCAAAGATATGATTGCATTCTTCCAGTACTTGAAAATATGTCACAGGGAGGAAGGCCAGGATCTCTTCTCAGTCCTCCCAGAGTGCAGGACATGGAATAACAGGTTCAAGTTACAGGAAGCCAGATTTTGGCAGGACATTAGGAAAATTTCCCTGACTGTTAGAGCAGTACAACAATGGAAACAATTACTTAGGTTGATCATGAACTCTCCTACATGAGAGGCATTCAAGATGCAACTGGACAGCCCTCTGAGAGGGATGTTTTAACTTGGAGTCCTACTTAGAGCTGGGCCTTCCTGATCTCTTTCAGCCATACTCTTCCGTGGCTCTGTGAATTTGGTAGCTGACAAATCTGTGGAATGTGACAGTGGTTGGAGACTGGAGTATGAAAGGTTTTTGTGAATGGATTTATTGGCACAGTTTTGCCTGAAAGCGTTTTCATTATTTCAAGGTGGAATTCCATGAGGCGGCTTGTAGTACTTTGAACTTGGAGAACTATGGGCATCCAGTGCGTGGCAGGAGGAGTACGGAGGTGACCTCTGCACTTTTCCTGTGATGCAGAACACTTAGAGGGCTTCTCTGGGCTGTCTCAGTCTGGTGCCTTGGAGTATGAGGAGAGGAAGCTTTGCTGTTGATTACCATCAATGTATCCAGGAATGCTGTGGACATAATATACTTTGCCTTCAGCCGCATGATATCTTGACTAGCAAACTAGCTCAAAGGGGGCAAGATGGTGGATCCACAGTGGACTAAAGAATTGTGCGGAGAGAGTGCTTTTCAATGGCACAGGTTTTCTCCACAGGTTGGAGTAGCCCTTTGTTGATACAACGAAGTTCTCAAGGAAATGTACATCACTGCCAGACTGGGCTTACCCTGTCTGATGGAAGCAATATCCGATGGGTTCCCTAGAGATGGGCCCTGCCCCATTGTACACCATAAGCCGTTGAGGGAGGGTCTCTCCACAGGATTCCCCTGAGAGGGATTGCCCCAGGTTGGGTGCAGGGAGAAATTTCATTCATTCATTCATTCAAAACTGTTATATGCCATCCCTTATGCATGGCATCTCAGGATGGCTCACAATCAATAAAATCAAATGCATTATACGGGATAAGCCATATGTTGCTGCCCCTTGGCCTAACAACCTCCCCTGGCATCAGATACTATCAAATGCAAGATTGTGTAATGTTTATGGGAATTTGCCACCCAGTGACTGAAGAAGTAACTGCAGGCTTCAAACATATGGACACATTTACAGGAATGAAAAGTAATTAACATATTTTAAAAATGAAGTGCATTCTCTTTTGTACGCATGCCAAAATTCAGAGGTTAAGGTTCTTGGCATTTTGCAGATGAAAAATGGACACATATTTTCTTTTAGTATAGATAACTGTGTATAGGAAGCACAATACTAGGCTTATAGGCTTGCATATTCCTTAGAATATTTTGCATACTTTAAAATTAAGTAAGTAGTCACTGGGGTATTACAAAACTAAAAAATAAAAGTTTAAGGAAGAATTAAAAGTACCTACAGAATAGCACATGACCACCATTTTGAAATGCAAATTTGAGCAAGCTTCTGTGCTTTGATTTTGGCAGATTTTGTTAATTAGCTGCTATTTCTTGGTGGAAAACACTTTCAAACTCTTCTGCTACAATTTTGGCCACATCAAACTGCATTTCTTATAGGGCCAATGCAGTCCTGAGCCAAGATACAAAGTAACCTCTTTGTAACCTCTTACCTGATGGAATAGATTTACTGGAAATGTCACTAAACTAGTCCTAAAACGTGTTGTAAAGTGTGTTCCAGTTGAGTGTGGGCATAAGGTTCCACTTGCTGAGGTGGACTGAGGTCAGCAGCACTGTCAGCTGCATCTTTTCCTTTGGTTTGGTCTGCGGCTGCAGTCATCCTTTCTGTCCTCCAGGAAACCTTTTTGTCCAATACAACGCTCAGCACCTTAGCCGCATCTACCCACTGGGACTCAAGTTGAACTCCTCTAACTACAACCCTCAGGAAATGTGGAATGCTGGCTGCCAACTTGGTAAGGGGGAAAAGGAGGGGTTAACTTTTGTAGACTTCATGGGTAACTGCAGGATATAAATCATGAACCCTTGCCAGTCATGCTTCAAAAGTTCAGAAGCAGAAGAGAAGGATCCTGAAACCTCTGCAGATCAATGACCTTCAAGAGAGGTCCGCCTGGCGCCGTCATTATTTGTTTTTCGGCGCCAGGCGAAGACCTTTTTATTTAAGCAGTATTTTAAATGTTAATATTATTGAATTTTATTTGGCCAGGGCGGCTTGTTTTATATTGTATGTTTTATATTATATATTTGTATTTTAATGTATATATTTTAAAATGTTATTTTAATTTATTGTTGTAAGCCGCTCCGAGGCTTCAGCGAATGGGGCGGCATAAAAATGTTTTAATAAATAAATAAATAAAAATAAATAAGAATGTGTATTATCAGGAAAGAATAAAATGCATGCAAAGTAGATATACAGGTTATAACTTCTAAACAGTATTCTAAGTGCTTAGGGAAAAAACCCACAGAATGTGGCAGTGGGCATAGAAACTAGCTTTCAAAGAAGCTTAGTTTTCATATTGAAAATGGAAAGATTCTGGTCCTTTGGGGCATAAACTTGACTTTGGGCAATTCCTACTGGGATGTTTGTTGCCATAAAAGTCTGAAAGGGGAGTGTAGCCAAGCTCTCTGACTCTAGAACACCCTGCCTTGCTTCTGTCCCTTTCGCCAAAACCTCTGGAAACGATGCCTGCATTTCTTCAGCTAGCCCTCAGCAACATTTTGGTGATGCCGGGGCAGGACTTCAATAACTTTCTCTCTCCCATGAAGAGTAAAAATAGCCTAAATTTTGCAAAACAGCAGAACAATTGTGAATGTTTGCATAATGTATACAAGGTACAGCAATTTTCTTAATTCAAAATTTGGATTGCCCAGGAGATGAATTCTAAGTTTTTATGGCACCAGAAGAAACATGAGCCTGCTTAAGGTATTTAACTAAACAAGCAGGTGCCTTTGATCCAGGCTCTTGCATGCCTATGCACAAGGTCGTAGGTTTACGCAGCTTCCTTCATGGTCTCTATGCATCATGCATATGGGCTCTGCACTTGCATGGGGCCTCTTGTGCTCGGCCCTATCTCAGAAAGCAAGCCAAACTGAGAGGAAGTCTTTCACATCACATGCAGAGCAAACAAAGGCTGCAAATCACCTTTGTGGAAATGGGATACTGCTTGTGCAGTGGCCACAGAGGGCTCATTTCCTGGCAAGCACAGCACACCTGTTGGAACTTGGATTTAAAGCTGTGACAAAGCAGGCTGGCATCCAGGGAAATAAGACCAGGGAATCTGATGGATTCCAACCTCTAAAAGAAATTTCTCACACATGCCTAGTTGCAGGTAAGCAACCTATCTTTTAGTAATGTCTCACATGCAAGTGTTTGCATATATTTGCATTGTTTATTTCCTTTGCTTCTTTTGGGGGCAGGGGAAAAGTCAAAATGTTTTAGAAAATTCTTTAATAATAAGTGGTAAAAATGCTTCCTAACCTAAGAAGTAAGGGCAACATATTTTAAGAAGAAAGTTATACAAGCTATCTAAGATCTGCATGATTTAAATTAAAATTTGTTTGCAGAGTAATTTATCTGGGTTTGCCTAAGTGTTCTTACAGTGGTAGCATACTGGCTACCTGACCCGCAGCCACAGCATATTGGCCGTGGTTGCTCCCTTTCCCTTTGCTCCTCCAGCCTCTTCTGAATTTGCAAATATTCCAGATGCGCATGACCAAAATCAACAATCAAAAGCCCTTTTTGTGCCCCCTTTCTAGTGGCCCTGAATTTCCAGACCCCCGGTGTAGAGATGGACTTGAACGAAGGGCGCTTTTTGGTGAATGGCCGTTGTGGGTACGTGCTGAAACCTGCTTTTCTGCGCAGTAGCCAGAGCACCTTTGATCCTGAGGGTCTGGGTTGCAGGACTGACCAGCACTCAGTTGTCCTCACCATCAAGGTAAATGCAGTGCTTGTCTGTAAAAGGCTGACCAACTTTTTCTACTTGTTTCCTTATTACTATTTAAGTGCATGAAAATGTGAAATGGCTCAGATAGCACCAGAAGCACCATTGCACAATTGTTATCTGGGCTGGTTTTTCATGGCCTTAGGTCAGCAGATGTGGCCCAGAAATAGTAGTACACACTTCAGCTTTTTCTAACATTAAGTTTCTAATCCTCAAGGCTGCAAAGCTATGCTTGGAAGTATGCAAGAAATGCCAGCTGAAATCTTAGGAACTGGAAAGGTGTTGAATAAGTTTTACAGAGTTTGGGACTGGTACTTGTCAGGGTCTTTGTCTCTGGTAGAATAGATTATGTGAGATAACAATACACAAAGAAAACCTCTGGAAACCTGTTTTAAATAATTTTAGATCATTTTACATGTGTCATTTTAAATCATTCGGCATTTTTCTTGGCAAAGAACTTGGATCACTTGGGTGCAGAATTGTAATTTTCCCTTAACACAGGATGGCTCTGATCGTGCAGTCAGGTGAGAAAGAAAACAGCATTCTTGCTGTTTTAGTAGTTGTGCAAAGGAGGAGATTTCTGCAGATGTAGCTTGACTAACAACTTACACACCCACTGACCTTCCTCTTCTACATGACTGTTAAAGAAGCAGGAGATCAGTCCTTTTTTCTCTCTCTTGCAAATGACCACCCTAAACTCTGACTATAGCTTAGTTTGCAGGTTAATTTTGAGTTTGGAATAGTATTTTGAAATGTTCAGCCAATTTTAACTGCATGCTCTTTTTCAGTTTCTCACTAGTTTTTAAAAGTTGAGGGATCATGCAGAAATGAAACTTGCTGCTCTCCACTTAATACTCATGAATCCTGTCTCTCTGCAGCAGCTGCTGCTCACTCTCAGTGAGGGCTTTCTAGGTTTGGTGGGGGAGTAACCCCAGAGGAAAAGTGTAATGTGATCAGCTAGCTGCATGTGTGTCTTGTGGAGAGGCAATTGAAAGCACAGATGGGGGTGGGAAGGGGGAATATGGATGAAGCCTGGGAGATTGTGCAGTGCTTTCCCCCACTAAATTTTACTTTTGAAAATTGATGCAAAACACACAGAATAAAAAAAAATTCTCAATCTACACAAATATAAAACAATACAAATAAAATTATTATGAATTAATTGAAACAATACAAAACAACCGTGCTACCCTCCACCAGGACCAACAAATACAGACCTTGTTTTCTGCCAAATGATGACAATAATGCACATCCAGGGTCTATTTCAATATTTAAATACGATATTTTACTAATTTCTTTAAAACTGTTTTCCAAAACTTACTTATGTATTCACACTCCCACCACATATGGAAATATGTACTCACTTCCCAGTTACATTTACAACACATGATTGCAATATAGATTATTTGATTTTACTTTTACAAATCAGTATGGAAATGGTGCAGTGCCAAATGGAGCAGAGCACTCTCTAAGTGATGAGAAAAAGGCCCCTTCTAATCCACAGACAAGGTGATCCTGTTGGAATTTGCCCGCCTGAGGACTGACTGAGGGTTGGACAATGAACGGCCTGCGGCTGAGTCAGTGCCTGTGGCCCCTGCATAGGCAGGAAGGGCCTTGGTGAGGGGCCCCGGAGGCAGCATGGCTCCTCCTTGAAAACACAGTAAATATCACTGCTCCACATGCCTTGTCTCCCACTCCCAGGTGATCACAGCCCAGCAGCTGCCAAAACTGAACAAAGAGAAGAATTCTTCCATTGTGGATCCTTTTGTGCGTGTTGAGATCCATGGAGTTTCGGTGGACTGCTGCAAGAAGCAAACTGCGTACCAGTTAAACAATGGTGAGGCAGAGCTTCCCAATGGAGGAAACAGTGCTGGAATGGGGAAGGTCTTACAGCAGAGCTAGGCAGTCTGGTGCTTTCCAGATGCTTTGAGACTTCAGCTCCCATGCATTCATGACCTGCATGGCCAAGGGTATATGGAAGATGTAGTCTAAAATATCTGCAGGGGACCTGAATTCCAGTCCCTGTCTTCAAAGCTAACTTACATCAACCAGTAGAAGACTGATGAACTGGCTAAGGGTAAGGCGACACATTTGGCTGTAGGACTTTGTACCGATAGATGTCATAGAATCCAAAAGGCAGCTTTGTTTAGTTTCATCAAATACAGCATCTTTTCTGAGACTTAGAAAGTTATTTAAAAGAATGTGTCTGGTGAAGAGGACAAAACGTAGACTTGAGTGCCTCCACATTTTAAAACTTCTTTTAAAGAAAGCAAGTTTCCAGTCCACATGACTGGTGTATTATTTTGAAATCTTGTTGCAGAGCAATGAGTGAGGTCCTTCCATGGTAGTTTACCTTAAATTTCTACTTCATGGGTTTCCCTTGCCGCAGGATTCAATCCATGTTGGAATGAGACACTGACATTCCAGGTGGAGGTGCCAGAGCTGGCCCTGGTGCGCTTTGTAGTTGAGGATTATGACACGACTTCTTCCAATGATTTTGTGGGACAGTTCACACTGCCACTGCCAAGCCTTAGGGAAGGTGAGTGTTTCTCTTCCAGGATCAGGGGAGCTTCGGTGTGACCTGCTGGCTGGGTGACTGAGAGTGAGGGACTGTTCGCACCCTGTAGACTGAATCGGCTTCAGATAAGCATGTGGAGCACAGGACAACACTCCTTGTTGGCTTACAAACATGGTCCCCCCACCTTCCATTCATCTGTGTGACCAGGTATGGTGAGGGATAGCTGACTCACAACTTTCCCATGGGAAAGCTGCAGCTCGGAGGCTTCCTGTGGCTCCTCTAGAATCTCAGAGCCCAATCCCAAGTGCGTTTTGTGCACAGCCAATTCAGCTAGGCTTTGGTTTGACTTTCAGCTGTGTGGGCTTTTTAAGGGAAAATGTACATGGTCTAATTCTGTCTGTGATTTTTCTCCCACTTCTGAAAACCCACTCTATATGGATTTCAGCGGCATGGTTAGAGCTGGACTCCCAGGTGGAGGGTCGAGCCCTGCACTGTAGCCTGTCCTTTCCTGGTGCTGGGCCATCGCTCTCTGTGCCCTGCTTCTTCCTCCCATGCTGTGCTTGATCTTGCCTTGGCCAGCAGCACTTTTTCTCCCTCCCTCCCTCCCTCCCTTTAACTCTTAGTGCAGTCCAGGTGCGTCGCAGAGAAAACTGGTCATGCCTATCATGACGATTTCTCCATAGGCCCTGCAGATCAGCCTGCACCAATCTGGTATCATCCAGGTGTCTTGCACTACAACTCCCAGCTGTCTTGACAATTGGGTGAGATGAGAGCTGTAGTCCAAACCTTCTGGAGGGCACCTGGTAGAGAGGCTGTTTGCAGGAATGTGCCCGCAAAGTGATTAGCTCCAGCTGACTTGAGCAGTGGAGCTGAGTCATATGTGCCAGGTGAATGTTTACTGTGCCACTTCGGAATCCCTTCCGCTCTTGTTACTGCCTAACTTCCTCCAGCAGAGAGGTGGCTTTGTGTTGAAGCAGTGTTGACGGTGAAAGGAGCCAAGTTAGATAACAGAAGGCATGTGCTGGTCAGTGGGTGGGAGGCATGTGCCCTCCTCCCCCTCTGCAACTAGTTTTCTTCTGCCACTTTCTGCTCCTCAGGCTACCGCCATATCCACCTGCTCTCCAAGGATGGCACATCTCTGTCCCCGGCCACGCTTTTTGTGCATGTCAGATGCAGGAAGGTGTGAAGAGCGCTGAGCAGAAAGACATTCTGATCAACCCACAGCAGAAGAAAGGACGACAGCGGTGCTAGTTCTGAATGCTGCCTACTGTTGAACCAGAAGTGTGTCTGAATCACGCCAAGAAAGTGGTGTGACCCTGCCCTGTGCTGTGGGCTGGAACAGGGCCCCCGTGCTGGAACTTTCCTACTTGCATTTGGGTCAGAGAAGACTCTTCATGTTATTGAGGGCTAGTGGCAACTACACAGTGGCTTTGGGAATGCTGCTTCTGGCTCAGGTTTTAGGCCTGGGTGCAGGGCTAGCACTTCATCTCTGCATCAGTCACATGCTGGAGGGATGCCTCCTTGATGTGAGAAATGACTAGTGAGAGGATTGAGCAAGCCATCTTACACACTCATGGGGCACACTCATCCCAGAAAGGAGGATCAGGTGAGAGGGTTTAAGGGCTTGTTTCAGGGCTTTAAGGGAGTGTGAAGCTTCTGACAGGGGCCTAAGAGCCAGTGGATAATTTGTTTGGAATCTGACTGCAAAAATATACAGCCCGTCAGAGTGGAACATTTGATATAGTCTGATTCTGCCTAAGCTACAAAATTAGTTGTACTGACACCTCTCGACAGAGCTGGTATTTTGGGTTTTTTATTTTGTTTGTTTTGCATGCAAGCTTCCTAATTGTTGCAGAAGCACATGCCAGACCTAGTGCTAACCAACAACTAGCCTCATAAAGTATATATGATTCTTATTTTAAGGGTGTTGGATTCAAATTCAGTTGTTTAACTTGCTAGTAGAAGTGGAAGTAGACTTCCTTGCTGCTGTCTTTCCACAGCAGTGCCTCTAAGCCCCTGAAAATTTTACCCAGCACAGTGTTGTGGAATGGAGGGTGGGAAATTCCTGAAAATTCAGCAGACACAACCTTCCATCAGTGGAAGGCACAGCCTAAATCCAAGGCAGCATGGTTTGTATCGGATGTATGGATACATGAGGAAAATATTGCAATATTTGCACTATTCTACTACTGGTTTTTTAGAAGATTGGTTGAATGTGAATTACGGAAATAGTGCACCTTGTAAACAAGGAACCTTGAAAAATGCAAGAGTCCCACAAAAATGTGTTAATTTGGATGAGGGTTAGGCTCACTGAGAACATTGTTCTCTATTGGATAAGCTAAACCTTAAAAATTTAGTAGTCACCATTGTTTCTGTCTTTGTCATCCAGACCCCTGTCAGCCTCTGGGCCTTTATTTCCAGCAACAAACAGTATTTTGCTATGGTATTTCTCACATGTGCAAAATGAACCTCCTTGCACCTGAAAGTTAGGTTGGCGTAGCAACTGTAGATAGATAATAGATAGATGACAGAAATGCATCCAACAATTTCAGCAATTCTCATGAAAATGACTTTGAAGAAGCCTTTTAAGTGGAAAAAACCCTTTTAATGTTAAGTGTGGCACCTTTTACTCCCTTTGACCATGCCAACTGGTTGCCCCACAAGTTAGGCAACAGAGTTGCCAATCACTCATAATCCCTCTGTCATTCTGCCCCTGCACTGCACTTCATCTGATTGTGGGGAAAGCTCAGGAGGCACTTCCTTTTTGCCTGTTCCTTCTTATGAATGGGGCTTCTCAAGCAAGCTGTTCCTCCAGTGAGCCTCTCTGGCCATGTAGGTTACAGCTGCCCATCTTGGTTGAAGGGAGTTTTGTCAATGGAAGCACCTTTGCTCAGCCAGGGGCAGCAGCTGAGGCCAGTAGCTGCATCTTTCGACCGCCTGTCTTCTTTAGCATCCTCCCCTCACACAAGCTTAGTTTCTGTGAAATGTGGTCCTCAGTGTCATGGGGATAATCTGTAAGCCCACCTAGCACTTGCAATCAACTTTGGGTCATTTTAAAATGTGGTGAATTCTTGAACAGATCTCCTCCTTGATGGTGAAAACCCTCCATGTTAACTTGTCACATGAGGGCACAAGACTGCATTTTACAGGAAGCAGAAGGCCACATGCACAGAGGGGCAGTGTAATAACCCACAAGCAAAATGGCTAGTTGAGTAGCCACTCCACAGATTTTTGATATACCAGTAATACAGGAGTATTTTTAAGGACAGCCGTCCAGAGTATATGTGCTGTAAGGAGGAAGCATGCTAAGTAGCCATGCTTCCACAAAGCCGAAGCTTGGACACTATGGCCACATCTGTCATTGCAACCAGAAGCCCCACATCTGTTCACGTCCCAATATTATCTGCTACTACAAAATTGACAGGTTATCTCCTTGTGGAGTGAGAGAAGGGAAAGTTGCAAGGCCCCAATCACACGACATGTGTTGGTTATTTGGCATTAACAAAAGGGGAAATGACACCGGACTGTTTTTTTTGATGGCTGTTGCCAACCCACCCATGCGAATGGAAGATAGGTGTTGATGTAAGAAAGTGGTAGCTAGCATTTCATTACCTACTTTCTGAAGAAGCACTACATGTTTGGAGGGATGAGTTGTACTCCCAACCCTGCATTCAAATCCCCATTCAGTCAAGAAATTCACTGGGTGAAACTCAGCCAGCTGTTATTTTTCAGAGTTGTTGTGAGGATAAAATGTGGAGGTGGGGGAAGAGAACCATATATGCCACTGTAGGCACCTTAGAGGAAAGTGGGTTATACATGCAAGAAATAGAATAGAAATATAGCAGTCAATGTTTCCTGGGAGAATTTTGGACCGGTTTTCTCTAGGGATAACTAGAAGCCACTACCTTAAATAAGTGATTGGAAGAACACACACCAGAAATAGGTCTGGAAGTTTGACTCATGGAAGATGATGGCATTTGGACTGATTCCATCCCATCCCTAGGTTGTTGTACCTGCTGTGAAAATATCCAGTACTAGACAAATTCTTTCCAGCTTGATTTTGACTAACCTTTTTTCTGATTCATTAACTGAATGAAACAGTTTACACATCCAGCCTTTGAACACGTGCAAACCTACAAAAAGCCCTGGTGTGATTTCAGCTGCCTACCAGTATCACTTCTAGTATTATAAGAACATGCCAGGAACTGAAGGCACCTTCTAGAATTTGGTTTTGCAAAATTCTATAAAGAGACTGGTGTTTATAATGTATTCAATAGATATAATAGAATATTTTATTTTAAGAAAAATGTCACAGATATATCAAATATTTAAAATATATGAAGTGTTTAAACAAGAAGAAAAAAATAAAATTGCAAGTTTTTACTATGAGTATAGTTGAAATTAATTGCAATGGCCACATGTGTGAATGAGTATCTGTATTTCCAAATATGCTGCTTGGGTTGCAAAATTCATAGTTCAACATTTTACACTTTTGAGTAAGCAGTGTCAAGGAAGCTATTATAGAAAGGATGAGCTCTTTCAAATGTAAAACTTGCCCAAATAAAAACAAAATTGAACATTAACATACATAAAGTAAATCACACAACAGCAAGGACAACAATAAAGAATTCTTTAAATATACTGAAGCAGAAATCCAGCGAGGGAGACAGTTGAACTGATGGATGACAGTAAGAGTTAAAGGAGTGGTAAAGGAGAAGAACTTTGTAGAGAAGTTGAATGAATTCTTTTGTCATCACTGCAGCACATTTAAGGCAGACGTTAGTACCTGATCTGATGCTTTTAGGAGGAAGTCTGAGGAACTGAGGCGAAATGGTGGTGAGTGTGACAGGCTATGTTATTGCCCTTATAAATAAATTGAAGGCTAACAAATCAAGCCCAAATGGTACCTGTCCTACAGTTTCCAAAGAAAGTGTTGATCTTCTGAAACAACTATAACATGTATGTAAGAACAGCTGCTATATCAGGGGAGTCGAGAACAAGACCAAATTTTAAAACAGGATCCAGAAGGGATCTGGGAAATGACAGACCAGTCAGTTTAATGCCTGTTCCAGGTAAATTGGTAGAAAGCTTTGCAAAACATAAAATTAGCAAGCATATAGGAAGGGCAGACCCTGCTGAAAAAGAATCAACATGTTTTCTGTAAAGGTAAGTCAAGTTTCACTAAGCTTTCAGGATTTTTTGGAAGTGCAAGTATGTGGACAGGAGTGATCTGGTAGACATACATTATACAGATTTGCAAAAGGTTTTTGACAAAGCCCTGCACTGAAGACACCTGAAACAGACTTAGCAGTTCTGGTCTGAGAGAACAGGTCCTCTTATGTATCAGTACCTGGTTAAAGAACAAAAGAAAAGTGTAGTAACATATTCCTACACCCCAATTCCATTTCCAATGGAGGAATTTACATAAAGGGATCACACAAGAATCTGTATCAGGGTCAATGCTTTTTCAGTTTCTCATAAATGGTCTGGAATTTAGAGCATGCAGTGAGGTGACCAGATTTCCTGATGGTGCCCAATTATCTAGGGTAGTTAAAACAGAATTGTAAAGTGTTCCTGACAGTTTTCTCCAAAACAGGAGAATAGGCTTCAAAGTGACAGGTGCAGCTCAATGTAAGCGTGTAAACTGATGTTTTTTGTGGTCTCTGTGCTTTATGCACATGGGCTTTGCACCTGCATGGAAGCTCTTGCTGATGAGATTCAATAGCTAAGCATGTTTTGCTCAGAACCCCTCCCCAACCCTGGTGTCCATATAAAAGCGAGGGGCTCCTGCCATTGCCCTCAGTTCCTTGACTGCCTCTGGTGCCTCAGGACATCCTTTCACTATTTCCTCTCCCCAGAATGTTTTTCCTCCTTTTCTATTCATAATTTTTTCTAAGCATTTTTCTCCCTTCCTACTCATTTTGGAGCCCTCACAGGTTCTCTTCTATTGTTTCACCTTTCTTCAGGAAGAAAAAAAAACCCTCTCAGTTTTCCCTTTATTTACTTACCACCTTCTTGATCTTTTCTTAATCTCACTTCCTTGCCTTTTCCGCCTTTTCATCTGGATGGCATTGAAGGCCCCTTGAGAAAATACGTTCATTGTGAGCAAAACTGCTTCCAATGGGCAGGCATTCCTGGTGCTTCCCCTGCCTGGGCAAGAAGCATGCCGTAGATCAGCATGCATAAGCCCATCGCCTCTGTGCCAAGATCTGCGAATAAGCCTTACATACAGTTGATGCCACAGGGTTGCCCTGCTCCTCCCATCCATCTACAGTGGCTTTAGCCCAATCGGTCTGCTCTGTGTCTTCCACTTCAGGCACTGCTCGCCTGGTAACTGTCTCAGTGGTTCCTTCATCGCCCTCATCTTTAAAAAGTCAAAAAGCTGACCAAATGGGGGGCAAGTTCCAAGGACCTTTTGGTCCAGAAACCCAAATAGTACTGTCTTGAAACACAGCAGATACCATTAGTTCTGGAGTTGCCCATAGATGCTCCAGTGCCATGACCTGAGCCTGTCTTAGCCTTGGAATCAGAAGGCAAGATATGAAACACACCACTGTCTCAAATCCATCCAATAGCTACTGTCTCTACAGTAGCTATGGTACTATCTCTGCCTCCACCTCCACCAGAATCATTTGGGTTCGAGGACTGCAAGGAATGTTCCTGCTCCCTGATTTTAGACTGGGAAAGGGGTTGGTCTCATCTATACTGCAACCGTACCAGGTTTCATCAATCTGTGGGCCTATTACCATCAAGGCCCCACATATAATTCTTGATATGGGCTGGTGTTCCAGATTTTCATGCCAGGACACCATATGCAAGTTGCAAGGGACAATCCCACAGCAGTATTCTACATCAACAAGCAGGAAGGCAGCAGATCAATTATATTAACATGGTAGCCACCTGGATTTTTGACTGGTGTTTCACCCTTACGGATCACCTGAACAGCCATTGACTCAGTCTTCCCCCAAGAGATCTATGACCTACCCAAGGAAGAGGAAGTCTAAGCTGAAGGAGCAGGATGGCTGCTCAAGATTGATAACCAAATGGTCAAGGGTCATCTGATTGTGTTGAATGAATTCAGGAACCAATGAACGCCATACTAGAGTCATAAAGGAGCTGGTGGAAGGACTCTCAAAACCATTGTCCATTGTCTTTGAGAAATCTTGGAGGACAGGGGAAGTGCCATATGACTGGAGAACGGCTAATGTTGTCCCCATCTTCAAGAAAGAAAAAAAGAACTTGGGAATTACAAACCAGTCAGTATGACATCAACCCCTGGAAAAATTCTGCAGCAGATTATAAGGCAGTCAGTCTGCAAATACCTTGAAAACAATGCCGTGATTATTACCAGCCAACATGGATTTGTCAAGAACATGTCCTGCCAGACCAATCTGATTTCATCTTTTGATTGGGTAACCTCCTGGATGGAATGTGGGAATGCTATGGATCTCTTGACTTTAGCAAAGTTTTTGACAAAGTGCTCCATGATTAGCCACCTAGCTAAAAAGTGAGCTAGATGAAATTACTATGAGGTGGAGCCACAGTTGGCTACAGAATCAGACTCAAAGAGTGCTCATCAGTGGCACCTTCTCAACTTGGGGAGAAGTAACAAGTATGGTATCACAGGGTTCAGTCCTGGGCCCAGCGCTCTTCAGCATTTTTATTAATGATTTGAATAAGGAAGTGCAGGCAACAATTACAGATTTGCAGATGACACAAAACTAAGTGGTTGTTGTTGTTAGTCGTGAAGTCGTGTCCCACCCATCGCAACCCCATGGACAACATTCCTCCAACCTTCCTGTCCTCCACCATCCCCCGCACTCCCGGGAGTCCACCCAAGCTCACACCCACTGCTTCAGTGACTCCATCTAGGTACAATAGCTAATATGGTTATTAGGAAAATGATTTTCAAGCGAGCAAGCCACTGTCTCGTGCGCCCGCCTCGCCTCCTCTCGCCCCAGCCTCGCCTCAGCACACGTGCCCGCATGCCCTGCCCCCGCCGGCCCGCGCTCAGCACCAGCACCTTTCAACTGGTCCCCTGGTGGAAAAGTTTGAGGACCCCTGCTCTGGGAGATGCTTTCTTGCTATGCTGGAGGGGACCCTATTTTACCTAGGAGAATTCTTCACCTGGGCATTCATACCCTCCACCTGACCACTTGGAGTATCTGTCTGTAGGGCACAATCGATCATCTCTCCATGAGCATCTTAGAGGCAGTCTTGAAGCTGGCAATCAAGAGGTCCTATGGAGCAAAATGGAAAGCTTTTTCTGTCTTCATGAAGACTCAAGGGTTTGATCGCAAAAGCTGCATAATTGACCAGGTAATCCTATATTTGGTCATGCTTCTACAGCATGGCTTGAAGGGATTGTTCATTAGAGTCCAGCTAGCAGCTGTCTCTTCCTTCCATGACATGATTCAGGGCTCCTCAACTCTCTTACACCTGATGAGCAGGCATTTTCTGACAGGCCTTAAGAACATTCTCCCACCTACGCATCCCAATACCACCTTGGAGTTTGTCAGTGGTCCTGCAAGCCCTGATGAGGAAACCATTGAAGCCCCTCATGACCATTGATCTCTGCTTCCTATCAGGGAAAGCGGCATTCCTGGTAGCAATGACTTCACTCCAGTGAACTCTGTGCCCTACGGATACATCCTGTGTACCTTGTCTTTCACTGGGACAGGGTACTGCTGCATCTGGATCCCCCCTCCTCCTCCCAAACGATGTATTTCCCTTTCATTTAAGCCAAGATATTGTTTTACCAGCATTTTTCTATCCCTACCCAGTCTGGTGGGGTCTACGCTTCATACTCTGGATGTGCATAAAGCACTGGTGTTCTTCCACTCCAGGACTGAACCTTTTCCCCAAACTTTTTGTGTCTTGTGGAGGCAAGGAAAAGGGCCAACCCCGTTAATCACAGAGACTTTTGGGATGGATTGTATAAACTATTTTATTGGCGTATGAACTGTTGGATCGCAGTTCCCTGAACAACCCAAAGCACACTCAACTCAGGTGCTGGCAGCTTCAACAGCACTACATTTTGGCATCACTTTATTTGCAAGGTGGTGACTCAGTCCACTCTATCCACCTTCTCCAAGTATTATTGCCTGAATGTTCATGCTGGGCTGACTGCATGTTTGGGAGAGCTGTCCTTTCAGAGCTACTACAGTTATGACACTGACCCTTCATCCACATATGGGTAAGCTGGCTGGTTGCCCACATGTGTGATGCACGGGGACCACAGAGAAGAAAGGCAGGTTGCTTACCTGTAACTCATTCTTTCAGTGGTCATCTGTGCATTCACACAGCCCACTCACTACTCCACTGGGTGTCGTGAGTGACCTAGCTACCTGTGTTGTCTGTGTTTTGTTTTCCGTGTTTCCCTTCCA